GGGGGAGGGGACCGGGGCGCTGCCCAGGACTTCACAGCAGCGCTAGGGTTAAGTTACACCCGGCCCCGGCGGGCCCGAAGTCATAAATAGGAGCTGCCGCTCGAGAACAATAAATAAATAATTTAGAGTAATAAATAGTTTAGTGCCGCAGCACCGCAGGGGCAGCGGGGGGACCCTGCCACTCCCCTGGGAGCCAGGCAGGGGTCCTGGCAGGGGGCCGGGCCCCGTCCTCTGTGGAACACCAGGGGCTACTGCCAGCCCTGGTGCAGGTCCCCCATGCCATGCTGGAACGGTCTGGCCTTGCTGCACCCCTGTCCTCAGAGACACCCCCTCCCTGCAGGGCAGCTCCAGCCACCACCAGCCCCAGGGTTCCTGTGGAGACAGGGAGGTTTTGTGCCCTTTGTGCCCCCCTCTGAAACTTGGGCAATGCTTGGCCCCAGATCCCTAAAGCAGGGGTGCAGGAGCACCAACCAGTCCAGGCAGGGTGCAGGTGAGCCGGGTGCTGCTGGTGGGCACTAGGCTGGCAGAGCCATGCGAGCAGCACGGATGCTCTAACCCTTTCAGCTCCTCTCGCAAGGCTGAGCTGGGATTGCACCCAGGTAGGACCCCACGTTGCTGGTGGCACCAGCTGCTTGGCACTGAGCAGGAGGGGTCTCAGCCACCCACCCCCCATCACGGCTCCATCTTGCCTTGGTCCCTCATGGCCACGTAAAACCAGGGACACCCGCCTCCACCAGATTCATCCTTCGAGCATCGGCTCTGCTGTGCACCATGAGCTGGGATCTCCAGTGTGCATCAAGCTGGGGCCGAGCTGGCAGCCCCCTCCTCAGCCAATGCAGCTGCACTCGGCTGCTGAGAGCTTCTCCACTGTCTGCCACGTGTTCTGCACATCCATGAAGGAGACGGCCTCGTAGCGGGTGGGCCGGCAGCAAGGGTGGCTGAGGACTCGCTCCTGGGGTCCTGGGGTGATGAGCTGCTGTCGCAGCAGGCTGCCCAGCGTCAGGTCATAATTGCTGCGTGACCGGTGGCAGGACCCGCTGCAGTACTTGAAGAGCACAATCTCATCTGAGTTGAAGCCCAGGCCCAGGTCACGCACCTTCACCATCAGGTTGCGGATGTGGCAGTTGCGCCCGCGGGTCCCCCGTGATGGTTTCCGTGCCCCCTTCTTGGCTTTACCGGTGCCCGGCGGTGAGCGCTCGGCACGCAGCAGTAGGTCCTCTGCCAGATCCGCAGTGCCCGGGCCACCTGTTGTTGCGTTGTCCCCTGCATGCAGAGGGGGTGGCACTGTCAGACCCCATCCCACACCCTCTGCCCTCCTGGGGCCTGCCGAGCCTGCCCATCCCCTGCAGTGACCTGCAGACCCCTCCTGATTGGCCACCATGGCACTGGCTGGGTGCCCACGGGGTGGTGGGGTGGGTGGGCACCTGGTCAAGCAATTTTGCACCCCCAGGGCTCTGCCACCATCCACAACATGAAGCCCAGGACCCCATGTGTCCTTCCAGCCCAGCCCTGATGTGCACACGGGCTGGGGCTCCCCACAGCTGATCCCAACCACCCGTGCCCCATACTCAGGGCTACTGTGCCCAGGCTGGGGGTCCTGCACCAATACACACCATATATCTGACTCCAGGCAGCAGTGAGTGGTACCTCCACACTATCCTCCACAGCCAGGCTGGTGGTGGCCATGCCCCGTGGCGTGGGGGCTGCCTCCAGCGTCTCGTTGCCGGGCGGCATTCGCAGGATGCCCGCAGGCAGTC